GGGGGGGGGTGCAACGCCTTCGTATCACTGACACGCGCGCGACTCTAGCCGCAGACACTTCCTACCACATGCATTGAACACTCGCATTCCCTCTATTGAATAATCGTAGGAAGGGCCGGAGTCTCGTTGCCGTGTTACTCTGCTCAGTTACGTTTTTTCGACGGTTCGCCTGGATTCTCAGCATCGTTTCGACATCTGCCTAACCAGTAGGTGCAACCCCAAACTCAACGGCTGCTGTATTTCTTGCCGTTAATGACAGACACGATGTTGGGTCATTTAATTCAGGCCGGGTATCCTCCCGCTCCTTTTTCACTGCTGTCCTACCACGAGCAGGGTGGGGGTCTGTTCGCCCGGCATCCCCACCGCCGCTCAGTACAATGATGGTGATGGAAAATTCGCCCTCCCCCGGCCGCCCTCGCCGGCGGCGCTGCAGAATTGTCGTCGGGTCGTCCGCGCCACTGATAACCAGTTGCGGCACCGGGTTTCCAGAGAATGGCTCTCGAAACACAATACCAAAAGCAGGTGTCCGCCGTTCGTGCAATATTGCGACCAGCACCCGAACACCGCGTATCGCGCCCAAGCACTTGAAGCGGTAGATAATCTGTCCGTAGTCGGCGCTTTCGCCAAGGGCCGTGCCAGGAACGGCGCACTGCACGCGCTGCTTCTTCCACCGTTCGAACTGCCAATCCAGTGTGGGTTCCCCTTGTCGCTCAAATGGGTCCTCGCCGATCTAACCGGAGTTGCCGACGCTCTTTGGAGGCCGTCCCGAGGTTCCGTTATCCTGTTAGCTCCCTTCGCCTTCCACGGTTCATAGGAGGACATTAGCCGGTTTACAGCAGTTCTGAGGACGTGTAGCTGGTCGGCCCAGCGTTCGCTGACCTGCGGTGTTCGACAGCCGTTTTTCCTCGCAAGCTCGATGAATGGGTGCGTGGACGTGCTAGCACGCGTTGTCGCCGTGGTTCTCGAGCCTGCTCTAGAAGAAACTGTTTGATTTTGCTTCCCGGCGCCTGGTATGGTCGGCCGCGGCGTACCGCAGCTCGCCGAGCGCGAGGCTCTCGCCGTGGTGGTTGTATCCGATAGGAAACAGTCCATGTCCCAGTGTGGCACATCGCAGGTACCTGTTGGCAGGTTTCCCCGGTGGGAGTAGTACCACGAGGGAGGCGACTACGTACCGTTGTCCACGGGTCGTTGTGGAGCCGTCAGGCGTGCGGCAGGTTTCAGGCAGAAACGTTTCGTGGCAAAGGTTACAGGGAGACGGATGAGTCACCCGGCATACGGCACGCACCATTCACAAACGTTTTGGGTCTAAACATCTTGGGCGATGAGGGTGCAGTTTGGGGAATATAGAAGTGCACACCACCAGCAACGCGACCAACCCCTGCATTAGCCCCTTTCTTCCTGACTCTTGTTACCGGAGAGAGAGTATTGCCATATCGCCGGACGTTGCGCTCAACGCTCTTGCATTCCGGTCCATGAGGCGTGGCAAAATTTGCCATTCCCACGGGTTCGGTAAGTTCTTGCCTTTGTCCAACGACGCAGTGTTTGTTTCTCCCGACGCAGTATGTCAAAATTTGTATATTGTCGCCGTTAAGTGGGTCCAACAAGAGCTTCACCCCAGCTGGGAAGCGTTCCCCGCATGACGGCCGCACTGCAAGTCGCGGGCAGCAAACCTGCCCGCTAAGATTACCTTGGCCTTATTTTCGCGTCGAAGGACGGTCGTGGTGGGGCACAGCGGTAGGTAAAGTTCAGAAGGTGAGCGGTTTGTGCCCGGACAATGAGAACCCACGGCACCGGGCCGACTACCGGCGACCCGGGGAGAAAATTGCATGTCGCACAGAGATTTCGCAGGGGCTAATGATGCCCTGTCGGGCCCCAACTTGCCTGAGTGATTCTCGACGCGCCAGGCGGCAGGTTTCATGTTAGTTGTGGGGTTTGTGAGGCGGTAACCCGCCCACCGGCCTGACGCCGAAGAGGTGGTATGTGAATACAACGAAATTTTGGGTAGGTCCGCCAGCCGGCGGGGCAGGAGGCCTCATCCAATCCAATCCTTACATCAAGTGAATACGACAGAAGTCACACCGACATGCGGTGCTTTACTGTATAATATAACATTGTTACAACATCATATACATCGTCTCATGTATTGTACATAATCGTAAAACTCCGTCTCCACCTGAAAGCATTTGGCGTTCGATGCACTTCGGTCATCACTGAAAAGGCGCGGTTTTGGTTCTTCTGGACAAAACCAGGTGACTGGTTGTACAGATTTGTCAAAGAGTGGGTTTGAAGAATGAATTGATGTTGCACGTTGAGAGGTTTTGCTGCGCCCAGCAACAGCAATGGAAGGCAGCAGGGGTGTGCTATTGACGGTGTGCTGTTGACTATGAAGGGTGAAATTGTTGACAATGCGTGGTGTCGGTTGTGGAAGTATGTTGCGGAAGCGTTGGCGTTTTTCGGGCGATTTTACTCTTCCTTTCCATTGTCACACGCAAGCTTTTGATTTAGGAGGAGACAAAGTATTTCGCTTGGTTTTGATTGACGCTATATCGTGTCAAGAGAAACGGAGGGTCGGTGTGATCCCCCCTGCAATGACGGTTTGCGTTTGCGTTCCAGCGGTGGCCCTATCCCACTCCTGCCCACACCCGTCTCCACCTTGTGGGATCGACTGCCCGGCAGTCTAGACAAAACGGCCAGAGGTTACGCACACCGCACGCATCCCTTGGATGCGTGAATAATTATACCTTTTGTATTACGCGCTAAACTCGTCATTTCCCGAGAGTTATCCCGTTGCTCTTCTTGCGTTCAGTATTTCTCTCTATTCATTTGAACACGATAGGGCGACCGCACGGACGCCTCGTACGAAAAGTTGGTACCAAACGTAACAAAGTAAAGAGGGAAGAGGCTACAAACGTGAGAGTCTAGGCTGACCGAAAGTAAGCGCTTACAACTTTGACAGGGATACAATCATAACTCTGTTACGTAGACTACATACGTCCTGCACTTCCCTCAAGAATTGTCCCACGCTGATCTTCCGTGCTTCCAGGGTGGAAATGAACTTCGAGAGGAAAGAGGACCCAAGCCAATACTCATTGGAATACCATGAAAGCAAATCGCCGTCAGCGATGTACCGGTCAAAGATCACATATTTGACTGCCGCTTGTGCCGACAGGAGTTTCCGCCGAGAATTGCAAAACAACATAGGGCACACCGTTGACCGGGTCTCCACACTTTCTACAGTTTTCCCAAACGACCCAAGGGACTCCCATGGTTACCCTTGGGTGACCCATGGGCCGCCCATGGGCACCCCGTTAGGCCCATGAGCAGCCCACGGGTCCCCCATGGGTAACCCATGGGCAGCCTATATGGACATATGGGCTGTCCATGGTCTTGCCCATATGTAGCCCGTGAGTAGCCCATGGGCGGCCCATGGGCGATAGGCGGCCAATGAGAGGCCTTCAACCGAACCAGTGTACTCTTAATCAATTGATCATCTGCGTTGGAACGGGCACCAACCCTAACGCTAACCCTAACTCTAAGACCGGACGATATGTGCTAGGTTGGCGCTGGTTGCTAAGTTCTAGGTTGATATGCAGATGGCTGGGTTCTAGGCTGATATGCCCGTGGCGAAGTTCTAGGTTGAAGTGCTCACGCCCATGGGCAATCGATGTTGTCCCCATGAGTTCCAATGGGCGGTTAAGCAAGACAGTCCGAAATGCTTATGTACGTCCCGCGAAAGCCGAAAAACCTTTACCGCGGCTCGTGCAGATCATCTCGACTCTCCCTAGGCTGCGTGCTGTACAGAGCAGCTCCAGGCTAAATAGACTGTGGCCTCAACACACTCACAGCGTTTTCGCGCATCCGATTCGTCGATTCGGCACTCAGAATTTTGTCTTTCAGATAACGCCCGCAATGTGCACTGGTACTACCGTCAATTTTCCCCGGAGAAGTTCACGAGAACAGCCCTAGAAAAATGCAACCAGCTCCTACGTATTTTACTTCATTGTGCAGAACTTGGTGGCACCGCTCAAGGTCACCCGTCCGTGGAAGGCACGCCGAGGAAGACGGCAGGCGATGTAGGACCACAATCAAGGAGGGGCTATCTGAACCAGCTGGTGGAAGCAACGACATTGGATAATGGCAATCAAGTGAGGACCCGTTGGCGTAGAGGTGATCAGGAGGTCGAGGAAGGTCGAGAAAAATGTTTGGAATCAGCAGATGATTTGTACTGCGACGGGAACGATGCAGAAAAAATTCCATCGGGTTACCCCACTTGCAACCGTTGATTGGATTCCCAGACGAACTGCTGCCCAAGGTTTGCCTTGTGTACCTGTACCGTCTCCTCAACGTTTTCTTCACCTGCAGGGGGTAATGATAACGTGGAAGGAGGCCATTTTTTAACAGGTAGAAGAGACACACCTGAGGACCCTAGCCGTTCCTTGAAAACGTGCGAAGTAGGACACTGTGAAAGTACCAATATCGAGACTGCACCCACGGCGCAGTAGCTGCCCTTCGGCAAGCCTGGGTGGTGTACAGTGGGCATGGAGGGGCGAAGGACCACGGAGCGATGTCTCCTCTTGTGAATTTTTCAATTCTGACTGAAGGCTTGTTGACGTGTTTCGTCTGCCAACATGATTTTTCTAACGCTCACGCTCTGCCCTCCGGTGGGTCTCTAGGTGGCGAATGTTGCCTTCGTGAAGACGCATAAAACGGCATCGACGACGGTAGCATCTATCATGTACCGGTACGCTGCACGTCACCACCTCGAGGTATTTAGCTAGATTACATCTGTTTACAAATATATTGATGCGTGTGTAAGTCAGAGGATCTTAAATATACCCGTATGAATTCAAAAACCGCATGGATTTAGGTACCACGAATGAGTTGAAGCCCAAGGGACATCTGTTTCAGCTTTATTTCCCTGCCATTCGGTCATATTCTCCGCTCACCACACATTTTCGGGACGCAAACCTCGTTGCACCTGCTGTAGAAGGCCGGTTACAATGAAGCAGAACTATATTTTTCATCTATTGTATGTGCTTTGTGCTCATTTTGTAATGTGCCAATGATTGGAACAACGTACTTTCACCGGGGGGGGGGGGGGGGGGNGGGGGGGGGGGGGGGGAGGTGAGTTCATGTACTGTTCCATCGTTCAGCGTTTCGAGTAGGCCGGAACATTTCGATCCTTGCTTGCCGGTGCTTTGCATCGCTCGGGCGATGTGTACGCAGCGATATTGCCAATCATTCTTGTTTCACAACCCATGGGTCCTGTCATTCTCAGTCTCCCAGGACCCGATGCTTTGTGTGAGTCTGCACTAATGGCACGCTGTTTCAATGCTGCGTGGCTTCTTTCACTTCCCAGCTGTCATATTTCGGTGGATCTTCGGTCACCAATCTGCGCTCGGCCGCGAATGAGGTAAGATGAAGATACACAACATTCTCGCCCAGCATGTATAACACGCGTTTTGTACCGACTCTCCGACAGCAGTTGGTGGGTTCATCAATTGGAACTGGATGAGGTTCCGTCTCGACATGCATTAGCAACATGGTCCAGTTAGTGGTCCACAAAGAAGCAACCTTGTCTCTCCCTGCGTTGGTGCTCGGCCGTTAAATGTTTTTGTCTGGTGGTGACTAGACGAAACAAAATGGGCAGCGTGTGGACCTTATGCATTATCACATCTCCCCAAGAGGCCAGTACATGGGCACCTGGAATGAGGCGGTGACGCACTACCGAGTCATCATGCGGAATCCTGACGACATCAACTTCATCACGGTGCTTCGTGAGCCTCGCTCGCACCTCCTTAGGTACGTACGTTCTGCGTAAACCGCAGGAGTGTACCTCGACTCTACTGCGCAGAAATATCGAGGAGTGTGATGCACTTCAGGATGCCTCGTTGGTGTGTTCTATATTCTTCGAGCGTGGGTTTCCAGGCCTTCGGCGACAAGGGTCATTAAGCCCCCCTTGACAAATTAGTTGTTGTATGGGAACCATTCGAAAATCACAAGCTGTTCACCTTTTTCATATTCCGCAAGCTCTCGTTATTCGAGCCTCATTTTTGCTCCTATATTCGCCTCGCCGTGCCGTTTACGTCCAAACGGCTGTCTTATATACCGATGGTTGTGCACGGTATCACAGCTACTACTACTACTTCCTTCAGCCGCTACATCAGGTACGGTGAAACGGGCTCGCGCTGTTGAGAGCCAATATTATGCAGAATTCGTATTGCTCGGCCCTCTGCCACCCCCAAAATGGGTGCAGTCCTTTCAACCTCGAAATATGCGGGCATCGTAAGGTTCGGCATTGAATCTCGAGGGAATATCTTAAAACGTGGGCGCCTTTTTCGGAGTATCAACCTTTGTGGATAACCATGGTTCTGTTTAGCTGTGGCTTGAAGGGTCTCCTACGCTTGCTCCAGTTTTTCTAAACAGCCCACAGGCACTATGGTGCACGTGGGTAGCCCATTCGTAACCCATGGGCAGCCCATACACAGCCCATGGACCGTCAATGAGTGCCCGTCAACCGGAACCAGTGTACTCCTGAACAATAGATTATCGGCTTGTGAAGGGGCAATAACGGCTAGTATTCCTAACCCCAAGCCCGCACGATCCGTGCTAATGGCTACGCTCTTGGTTGATGTGCCGGGTCTAGGTCAATGCGCACGTGGCGAAGTTCTAGGCTGGAGTTCCCACAGTGTGCACTTTGTGGCCAGTTCATTGGCTGCCCATGGGCATGCCCATGGGTAGATCATGGCCAGTTCATGAAGTGCCCATGGGCTGCCCATCTGTGCCCCATGGGCGGTTGAGGGCTGCCCATGGGCGGTATCGCAAAAATGCCAGTATTGGGGGGAGTTGGGCTTGAGTGTTCTTGCAAATTTTGGACGAACGTGCGGCAGGTTCAAGTCATCGCTCACTCCACCTACCATTGGTGCTTTTCGCTACTCGTCTTCAATCTCTACCGACTGTCATACCGTAGCCCACCCACACGTTCCCTTCGTGGCATGTGCCAAATAGCATGGAAGTGCTATCTCACCGTCGAAATATGAAAACGAGTTGGGTCTAACCATTTCTGAAGCTGGGGCAAGAACGCAGCCGTGATCGATACATAGGCGACAGCCACGTCCCGAAAAACGACGACGGCGACGACGACGACGACAACAGCAATGATGGCACCGGCGAACGGATCGTGCCCTGTTCCTTGTCGCCTTCCGAATCAGCAATCTATCGAGGAGTTCTTGCTCTCTGGTCACCGCAACAACAACGAGCACAGGATGCTTTACAACCCACTCTCCGCAGAGTTTGGGGTGCGAACCGCAGAAGAGATGGACAGCTTCATCAGCAGTGCCCTCCCAGACTTCAAGCTGGTGAGGTTCGCAAAACTGTTGTACTGACTACAAGAATATTTCTCGTTCCCTGCCATGGATCGGCTGGCCAGAATATGATGCATGTGTGTGATGGAAAAGAGCTCGATATGTTGACGGAAGGTCCTGACGAGATGTTAAGTAAGAAGAAGATTGTGCATAATGGTGTTGTATTGTTGAGCTGGGCAGGAAACAGAGTGAGCTCCGGTCGGGGGCGTGAGCTCTGCCTGGTCATCGTTGTTGTCGATTCCCGACGAAAGTACGAAGAGCCTACTAATAGTCCGGAAACGTGCCGGGAGCCAAATACCGTTCTATGATGCTACCGCACTGTGCCGGGAACGTTGCGGAAACCCGTCAAATCTTATTCCGAACTTTTGCTGAAAACGTTCCTGAGAACCGCTCTAGGATGTGCCCGACGTGGGAAACATTCTTCAAACCGTGACGGATATCACCGAATACATGTGATTTCGTCGCGAACGCAATATTGTCAGTTCGATCCCCCCCCATACTCCGCCCGTCTTCGATGCGTTTTCGTTGCCGCTTTGTATTCTGGAAACGTCGTGTACTCTTGTTAGATCTAGTCGTGAAAGCCGATGAAATCTGTTCGATTGCGTCCAGTGCACTGAAACGACAACAATACTCAAGCCCAACCTCTCCACAGAAGTGTTCGAGCGCGTTCAGTGCACTGAAACGACAACAGTTCTCAACCCCAACCTTTCGATATATACATGTCTTCGGTAAACATGATGCTGAAGGCTTGTTTCGGCATGTTTCTGAGGTTTGGGCGTTCTTTTCTGTGATACACGTTCGAGTTTTCCCTCTGCATCGTGCAGGTGTTGCTGGCAGAGCGGCTGGACGAAGGTCTGTTAACCCTTGGGCGAATGCTACACTGGCACATGATTGATCTAACATATTGCGACCTGAACGAGACCAAGGAAGGATCACGACGATGGGACGGCAAGACGGTTGTCACCAGGCCCCAGTTCGACAGTCTCCCAAAGCAGGTGTATTGTCAGAACCAGAGGCCCACACCACCCCACTGCTGGTTGACCGAGAGGAAGCACTTATTTTTGTCATGGGAGACACCTTTTTTCGTACAAGCCCGAAATCGACAGCCACCATGCGGTGCATGATTTGCTTCTACGGCTGCTGTTGCAGCCTCCCTTCGCTCACCGAGTCTGTCGCGTGGTATCTCACGGGAACTGTGGTTTGGGTCTGTTGTTTACTTCGCGGACAAGGTGGATTGTAGAGCGTGACCTCAGTCAAAAAGAGGGGGGCGATGACCTATGAACAAGATTAAAGCGAGAGCTTGGCGATGGAGCGATACTTCCTTGCATACGATGTGGATGGGTGTGTTGCGGGGCGAGGCAAGTTGAGGCAGTGTTTCTTGCGAGGAGAGAGTAGCTGTTTGTGTACGAGGGAGAGCGCAAGCCTTTCTTACCATTTTCTGGAAGCTTGTGCCCGTGACACTTGGGCGAACGAAACGTTTTCCTAGAGGAGCTTTGAATGATATTCGAGATGTGGTTGCCGTCGCAACCATGCATTCATTAAAGATACACTCGATGCGGATTAACTGCGGTCTTGCGTCAACTGCTTTGCTGCCACACAGCAGATACACGGTAATGAGAGCAGGTTGCCGTCGCAAAGCATGTACACGCAGGCATTCAGGCGCGTACTACTAGGCCGTTTTCCACTCTCGTTGCTCGGTCGTGTTAACGTTGTTCGAGCGTATCCATATCCCACTGCCTGAAGTAACGATACTGTTGTTTCTTGTTTCACGTCATGAGTACAAGAGAAGTCCCTCCCGTCCTAAGTAATGAAGTCTGAGGCTAAAAGACATGGCCGGCTTGGGACTTCAGGAGCAACGCTTTCAACAACACACGAATCTTTGCTAGTGTGAGGCAAACACGCTACGGATGTCGGACAGTGGTCTAATCGCAGGTGCTCAGCCTCTTTCAACATGTGCGTCCATGTTTCCGCCATTTGTGCTGTCCTGGAGTATCCGAATGCCATTGTGCTGCGCTGAAGCAGATATCTCGAGATCGTGATCCAGACGATGGCATACCTTGACCCAGTCCATTGCAAACGTTCGGTGGTTGGCGGTGCAGGTGCGAAACAAAATCGATGACCTCACGAGATTAGATCGAGTCCTGTACGAAGCGGGCAAGAACGAATTCGAAAAGGTACGGACTTCACACCATCCAACATTGGACTACTGCTGTACACACGAATGGTGTAACTTTATCTTACATTCTGACTTGTGTAATGGTGTACCTTTGTCTTACTTGTATCGCCAATCGTTACACCGTTAGTCTAGTCAGCGCTGTCAAGTGTAATGGTGTAACTTTATCTTACAAAAGATATACGGGCAGCTCATTAGCACCCGGCAGGATCACTTGGGTCTACGGCTTTTTGAGAGCAGGGATCTCTGGGGACGGACCCCTCGCCAGACACTGATAGCTCTGGGTGCACTTCTTGCAAAGAAAAGTGATCCAGCCGGTATTTGAACTCGTGCTGAGCTTTGAATCGCCAATCGTTACACCATTAGTCCAGTCAGCGCTGACTAGCCTAGTGGTGTAACTTTATCTTACAGTGTGAAAAACGTCTTGCAAACGTGTCTCATGGCAAGGACAGGATGATGTATGCCGTCTTGTGAAGGGAAGACGAAGTCCCCCAGACTCCATAGCTTAATTAGCGCGGCCGTCGGAGGAAACGATGACACCATTAGCACTTTCAGGTCTACAACACCTTAAGTACGTAGCGCAGGGGGGAAATTTGTACACACTACTCTTTCCAAGATCTCTTGTCGGTCCACGAAGGTTCGCATTCGATAAGCCCTGTAAAACACCTTCGCTGTACCGTACGTTTTGCTGGCAGCGGATGGCACCGTACGCCAGCTCGGTTCAAGAGGATATTCCGCAGTTTCAGGAGCTCCAGGGCGTCATCAAGGAGTACCTGAACGGGAACTCCTCGAGCCTGGCATACCAGATGTAAGCTTTCTCTTGGCAATCCTTGTAGTCCTCCACTGTAGTGGAAACTAAAAAAAATAAAATGAAGTAGGTACGCCCTCCTGTGTGCCCCCGCCTGGTGCGTCCCGAATCGCACCGAAAGTTGTGTGAAGACGGACGCTCGGAGAATATAGGAAGACAATACATCAGGAATCCTACCGATGTAGCGACGAACATCTGCACGTTGTGCTTCCGTTTCAACTATGCTGGTCACCAGTAGATATTGCGGTGTGTTTCACGATCCAGCCGGCGCCACGTACGGAAGAAATTAACACTGTCGTCGTTTGTCATACATGTTCACCTTCTTCCCCGCAATGCCTTGAGGGATCAAACGACAGCAGGGGATCCGAATATTTACGTCCTCTCTTTCCACCTGCGCGTTGTCTCGACGTCTCCCGGCAGGTATCTAAACGTGCACATCTACAAGAAGCGGCTCGACAACTACCTATTCTAGACGCGCCACAGCAGTAGCTTGAAGCACCGTACTTTGCGCTGCTGAGTTCACCGGAGCATATATGCAAAAAGAGCCGTTGACGCGAACAATTGCTGCCTTTCACTTGGTGGTTCAATACAGACACGTGCTCCATTCCTACATTGTAACATTATGTGGTGCTATTCCGCACACTGGTGGTGCATTACCCGCACGGAACCCTGGGAACGTGGTGGCAAGGAGACCCCCCAGTGATTTCGATTGGCAAGGGTAAGTCTTGAGGACGTCACTTACACACGCTTCATCGTGTGAAAAGCTTCGAGATATATTCAATGGCGCTTCGTGGACGACCGCTGTCGGTGGTCGCCGCTGCGCTCGAAAATTGATGGCGATGGCAAGTGTGTGCGGGTTGAACATGAAGAAAAAGAAAAAGAAAGCTACTTTTTATATGTGGAAGACACGTACGCACGCCAAAATCGGTACGACAACGCCACCGTAGATATCGCATGGAGATAAATGCGACAGCTTTTACGGCAAGTTGTATGAATAATGTGGAAGATTACCACAAAACCGCAGGTCTCGTGGGGCGATGAACACGGAAGCTATGTACTTCGTATGAACAAGAATGAAGGGTGTGCACACTCCTCCACATGAGAAAGGAAAGACGCAAAGGAAATCCGTCTACAGACGGCGACTACATTGATGGGCACATTTTCTTTGTCGCTANATGAACAAGAATGAAGGGTGTGCACACTCCTCCACATGAGAAAGGAAAGACGCAAAGGAAATCCGTCTACAGACGGCGACTACATTGATGGGCACATTTTCTTTGTCGCTACTTGAGTCATCATCATGAAGAGGCCGAGTGCGTGCGATTCGAGGTTTGAGAGAGGAGAGGAATGAAACAGCGCCGTGTACAGACCCGAAGTCAAGAAACGCCAAAATCGAGTCGAAACAAAATTATCTCTTGTTTTATTGCTTTCTTTCGAATTGCTTCATTATTTTTCTTCCGTTTCTAGGAGATACGTTGGGGAAGCTACGAAGCGCAGCGTTGGCTCTTTCAAACGTGTCTCACTCCCGGCAAATAATACCAGCGGGGTAACTACGACCGTAGACGTACGAGGTCTGAAACTGACCAAGCCCCAAATGGTACACACCATTCTCTGACTCCTACATCGAGGTCATTTGCAAGACAATTGCGGCAGAAGTTGACCAGTTTTTGTATCCTGTACATTAAGATCCCCCGACTGACCCGTTGCTGCTGCCGTCCGTGGGTTTCAACATGTAAAGATATTTTGATAGCACAGCTTGTACGCATCCGCCTTCATTGTTCTTCTGTCTGAATTTCCTGTACTGCAATGTCTCCGGCTGAACCTGAAGCCTTCGGTCCTCACGTCTGCCGAAGGAATCCCACTTAAAACCTCGGTTCGCGACCGTACCCCTAGCGACTGTTGCGAAAACAAGCCCACCAATCACGGCCGCCACACACAATTAATGTTTGTAGTGCCGGCATTTACACTATCAGTATTCATGCATGAGTCGCCAAACAGGCAACAATCCTGATAGGTAGCGCTGATGCGAAAACAAGCCCACCAAACACGTCCGCCATCCAACATTTATGTGTATAATTCTGGCATTCAACCCCTGCTGTATTCATGCGTGAATTGTCACAAAGGCAACAAAACTGGTATGTAGCACTGTTACGAAAACAAGCCCCCCAAACACGTCCGC